TTTTTATTCCATCAATTCCTGGTGCCTTGTTCTTTGCCACTTCTTTCAATGCACTTTGGACTTCCTCTCTGAGTATCATTGGCTCTTGTTCATATGGTATTTCTTGAAATGGTTGAACATTAACTATTTCCTTTTGGTACAATGACTCTGTGTACTCCTTCCATCTTTTCTTGATGCATTCTGCATCATTCAACAATTTTCCCAGAGAATTGTTCAATAACAAAAGTTGAGGCTTGAATTTTTTCTTCAGTTCCCCCAGCTTGAGAAATGCTGACCGTGTTCTTCCCCTTTGGGTGTAGAGTCAGAATGTAATAACCATTCCAGTGGTGAGAGGACTCTGGTGATTTTGGCATTGCCTCTGATATCCCATGCAGGTCCTTGGTGATTACACACTGTTTTTTAAGTGTTCACAAACTGCCGGCAGAATGATTCATTCTGGGATTTTGTTTAGAAATTAGCATTAAGGGGTTTGGGCTGGACTGTCTTCTCTAAAATATATTCCCCAACCTTCCTCCAACTAGAAAGGTGGGTGCATTCTTGCTTCTCTCCAGACTCTTAGAGATAGCCAATTGACCTAAGTCCCCGCTGGCTGATCCTTCTCTGTCCTTGGGCCCTTAAATGGTTTCTCAGTGGCTTTGGGTCCTTCCCTGCCCTGCCACCTCTCCTGTGTTCTCCTCATTCATTACAGGCCGAAACTCCTTCATCCCAACTGCATCACCTTCATGAGCCCCTGTTCTGGGCTTCTCCTCACTGAAGCTGAAGACCCCTCCTCTTATCATCTTTTCTGATTTGCAGGAAGGTCCCTTGAATTCCAACACTTGACCTTTCCTGTTCTTCCCATGCTAACAATGTGTGTATCTAAAATCCAATCTTACTCATATCATTATCTTCCTTACTATCTTTCCCATCCCACAATGTGACCCTTTGGGGAGTTGGTTTCTCCAGTTACCTCAGTGGTTGAAGCAGAACTTGAGGGTGGAGTCATTGCTGGGATCTAGGTGGGATGGGGCCCCAGGGTGAGTGTCAGATCTGCTCAGGGAAGGGATTTCACTCAGGTCTTCTCCTTCCCAGAATCCTTGGGAGCCCCGCCCCCGCCCCCAGCGATGCCCCCAGGGGTCAGGCTTTCTAGTTCAGTAAGGAGCAGCTGGACTTTCTAACACACGGGGTCGCCATGAGTTGGAATCCATTCGTCAGCAGTAATCAAGAGAACAAGGGAACAGGACGCAGTTCCCCATTTGACGGAGGTCGGAGCTCCTATTTGCTGGGTAGCACAAAGACTCTGTGACCCCGAAACTCCAGAAAGAGCCAGCGCTCAGAATGCAGACTGGCAAGGTGGGCGGGGCCAGCAGCAAAGGGACCACCAGGAGTCACGACCTGTCTCCGCAGCCCCAGCGCCCCCGGTGGATGACGTGCGTGGAGGAAACTGGAAACTTCTTCGAGCCTACCCTGGCGGCCTTGTTTGTCCGGGAGGCCTTTGATCTGCGCACACAAAAAGCTGTATGTGGGGTCCTCTTCCTGCCACCCTGCACCCCTAATGACCCCCTCATGCTGTCACCTCTGCTCTGGGGAGACACACAGTGAGGCAGAAATCCCTGCAGGTCAGCCATGGGTTGACGTTCAACTTCACGTACCACCAAGCCCCCACCTGGACTCCATGATAGCTGAGGCACCCCCTACCAACCCTAAAAGGCTATCTGTGGTTTTTGCACAAGACGAGTGTCGCAGAAATCACTAACTACCGCTTGGTGAGCACCTGCTAAGACCACGTTCCGCATAAGCCCTTGACACCGACCACGTCATTCCATGCCAGTCCTGCGCGGTGCACATTGCCTGGAGGTCCTCCCTTGGGCATAAAGAAGTTAAGTCGCCTGTCCAGGCTGCACAGCTTCAAAGAGCAGTCCGGGTGGGCACCGGCAGGGCCCAGCCCTCAACCACAGCGTCCTGCTTCCTGCTCCAAGAGCGTGTAGACACAGGCCAGGCATCACAAGACAGCAACCACAAAAGCCCAGGAAGGCGCAGGTGTTAGAGAGGATGGGGAGTCAGGGCTGCTGGCCCAGGGATGCTGAGCCGTCCTTTTCTCTGATTCCAGGGCACTAGGCCTGGGCTTAAGGAAAGCAAGAGCAGATCTAACCTCCCCATTGAATGATTTTCCCCTGGGAAGGACTGTCTTCCTTAGGACCTCTTGGATGACCAGCCCCGCCTTCCCTTCTATGTGAGGCTCCACCCTTCTCCCTGGCTAGGAAATCGTATTGGCGCTGTGGGTTAGCTATGCCTTCTGCAAGGTGGGCAGTTCAAACCCACCAGCTGTCCCTCAGAAGAACGGTGACTGTCTCTGCTCTGTAAAGATGGAAGCGTTGGAAACCCCATAGGGTAGTTCTGTTATGTTCTGCAGAGTCGCTATGAGTCAGAATCAACTAGATGAAAGTTTAGGGGGTTTGGGCTCCTTTGAGGACTTCGAAAGTGAATCCAATGCTCCCCTGTCTCTCAAGGCCATGGAGCTGTTCTCCAACATCAAGGAAGCCCTCATCAGCCGCCTCCAAAGGGTCCCCTGGATGAACGAAGAGATGAGGAAGGAGGCTCAGGACCAAGTAAGTCAAAGGGAAAGAGGGACCTTGGAGAATTGGGGTGTGGAGGGTCAGCAAAGGGCCTGGTGGACTCTGAAGGGCAGGAGACCGCTGTGGTGGGTGGGCAGAGAGCTAGGGTACAAGGGAACCTGTGCATGCGCACGCACAGAACACTAAGGGGGGTCCGTCTGTAGAGTCAGTCACCTTTATGTGTCTCTAGGTCACCCGACTGCAGGTGAAAATGGGAGCCCCGGAGTGGGTCATGGAGCCAGAGCTGGCCACACAGGGGTATCCCGAGGTGAGTCCTCAATCACCCGTGCTATGCCTGAGTCCTGTTGGTTTTCAGGGTGATTCTAGCTAATTCCTCCTTACCCTGAACGTCCTGGGGAACACCTAGCAGGTGGGTGCACCTGTTCTGATCTGTGGGTTATCCCTCGTGGGCCTCATCAGTGTGCGCACACGTGCGTCCTGGGACGCTCTGACTACGATCTGCTCCAGGCCCAACTGCGCAGGTGCGGGGTGGTGTTGCTGTTGGTCTCAACGCTTGTGTGGGTTCGCTGATGTCAGGTCATTCAGCGGTCCCCTAGGGGCCTTAATGTGCCCTGTGTGCGCCCCAGGTGCAGCTGGGCCCCAACTTCCTGCAGTCCGTCCTGAGCTGTATCCGAGCGCTCCGATCCAGGACCGTCAGGAGCTTCCTGAAGCCCTTCTCCTATCACAGGTGCCCGTCTGGGAGCCCCGAAATCTGCTTCTAGAGACACCTTCTAGGGCGGGTGGGGAGGGGCACCACAATAAGAGTCAGGGGCTGCAGGAGGATTGGGGTAGGACATTGTTCACGCTTTGTCTCCACAGCTGGCGCGAGCCTCCCTGGAGTGTCAAGGCTTACTATTCGCTGTCAGACCACACGGTGGTCTTCCCCGCAGGATTCTTGCAACCCCCATTCTTCCACCCTGGCTACCCCAGGTATGGCGTTCTGGGAGGGGACGAGGACTGGGCCGGGGATGGATGAGCTGGGTCAGCCTTGGAGGGACCCTGGTGACACCAGCTTTGTCCTCCAGGGCCGTGAACTTCGGTGCTGCGGGCAGCATCATGGCCCAAGAAATGCTGCGCATCTTCTACCAGCTCTGTGGGTACCAGACGGAAGCAGGGGCTCATGAGGAGGGTTAGGGGGGGAGTCCTGGAGCTGTGGCAGTGCTCCCTGTCCTTGACCTCGCCATTTCCCTCCCCTGTCCCAATCTAGCCCACCCAACTCCACCCTTCACTTGCTCCACCCTGCTCCATCTCACTTCCACCCTCATTCTCCTATAGTGCTTCCTGGAGGCTGCCCGGCCTGTGACATCCGCACCCTGCAGGGGGCGCTGCTGTGTCTGGAGCGCCGTTATGCTATCTTCTCCCCACCTGCGGGGGTCTCCTTCAACCACTCCCACATGCTCCTGGAGAATGCCGCAGATGTCGGGGGGCTGGCGGTGGCGCTGCAGGTGATTCCTCTCACCAGCAGACTGAAGGCCTGATCCCAAGTGTCCCTTTACTGTCCCTCATGCCTGGCCAACAGCTTTCTGCCAGTCCCAGCCCCACTGCATAGACCACCAAGGTCCCCTCCTCCCCTTAGGCTCACCCCTTTCCAACTGCTGGCAGGCCACTAACCTGGCTCAGATGGGTGCACAAGGCTGGGTGGTTATGGGTGCCACGTGGAGTGAGGGCTGCCCTACAAGCTCTGCTCACCCCACACGCAGGCATACATCAGGAGGCTTCAACAATACTCAGGAGAGACCACCCTGCCTCATCTGGGTCTCAGCCCTCAGCAGCTCTTCTTCCAAAGCTATGCGAAGGTATGTAGTGCCCCTCACCCCTACTGCAGGAATCAAGGGGTCCTTCCTTCCTCAAATGCCCCCACCATGGACTGGTCCCCATGGCACCCTCTCATATGTGCCTTTGAACTATGCTTCCAAATGTCAACAACGTTCTACTACAGCCAGTTGTCCCAAAAGAAAATGCCAAACTCCTATTACCAGATCCTTTCTCTTCTCTCTTTAACAAGGGGGCTCTGGTAGACTGCATACCACACAGCTCCTCGCCCCACCTGTTCATCCAACTGGATCAAACCAAATTAGCTGCTGTCTAATCCACTCTGACTCATGGTGCCCCCATGTGTGTCAGAAGAGAACTGTGCCCCACAGGGTTCTCAGTGGATGATTTTCATAAGTAGATTCCACTCATGGTGCCCCCGTGTGTGTCAGAGTAGAACTGTGCCCACAGGGTTCTCAGTGGATGATTTTTCATAAGTAGATTCCACTCATGGCGCCCCCGTGTGTGTCAGAGTAGAACTGTGCTCCACAGGGTTTTCAGTAGGTGATATTTCATAAGTAGATTCCACTCATGGTGCCCCCGTGTGATCAGCGTAGAACTGTGCTCACAGGGTCTCAGTGGATGTGTTTTCATAAGTAGATTCCACTCATGGTGCCCCCGTGTGATCAGAGTAGAACTGTGCCCCACAGGGTTCTCAGTGGGTGATTTTTCATGAGTAGATTCCACTCATGGTGCCCTCTTGTGTGCCAGAGTAGAACTGTGCTCACAGGGTTCTCAGTGATTTTTCGTAAGTAGATCCCACTCATGGTGCCCCGTGTGTGTCAGAGGAGAACTGTGCCCCACAGGGTTCTCAGTGGATGATTTTTCATAAGTAGATTCCACTCATGGTGCCCCTGTGTGTGTCAGAGGAGAACTGTGCCCCACAGGGTTCTCAGTGGATGATTTTCGTAAGTAGATCCCACCCATGGTGTCCTGTGTATGTCAGAGTAGAACTGTGCTCCACAGGGTTTTCAGTAGGTGATATTTCATAAGTAGATTCCACTCATGGTGCCCGTGTATGTCAGAGTAGAACTGTGCCCCACAGGGTTCTCAGTGGTTGCCTTTCCAGGAAAGGAGCCCTGGTTGTACAGTGGTTAAGTACTGTATTGCTAACCAAAAGTTCAGAGATTTGAACTCACCAATGGTTCCTTGGGTGAAAGATGTGGCTCCCGTAAAGATTTGCAGTCCCAGAAACCCCATGGAGTGGTTCTCCTCTGCCCTGTAGGGTGCTAAGAGTTGGAAACCACTTGATGGCAATGAGCTTCATTTGGTGTGGCTTAGATCTCTGGGGCTTTCTTCTGAAGTACCTCTGAGTGGACTCGAACTCTGACAGGTAGCAGCTGAGGCTCTTAATTGCATCACCCAGGTCTAACCTGAAACACCTCCTTAAATATCTGAGGGCTTCTTCAAGTCACTGCCCCCCCATACTTCAGTACTTGTGGAGTTCTCCCCATTACAAATACTGGGCACCTTCTCCCAGGCCCACCTGTACTCCTGTGTGGTCTACAAATTGCAAATCCCCGTCCTCTGCTCCTGGATCTTGACCCTTCCCACCCCTGTGCCAGTAGACCTGCCCACCCTGGACTCTCTCCATTTATGCAGGTGATGTGCAGGGAACTTGGGCCCCAGAGCAAGCAGGACCGACACAGCCCTCCTCCACTTCGAGTCCATGGGCCTCTCAGCAACACTCCAGCCTTTGCCAGACACTTCTCCTGTCCCCCAGGAGCCCTCATGAACCCCTCCAGCCGCTGCCAAGTCTGGTAACCTGGTTGATGGAGACCCTCAGTACAGACACATCCATACCTCTGACTCTGTGCAGAGCCATCTTCCCTTGGCCTTCAGCTCCTGAAATTAAAGGTGGCCCTGCCTACTGCCTGTTCCCCAGTGGTGCTTTCCTACTGCCCTGGAGCAGGAAGGCAGACAAGATGAGAGGTAGACGCAAAGCAGGGCTCCATACACATATGGGAATGACTGGTGAGTCGGGGGTAAGAAGGTCAGAAAGTGGGGCTTAGGGTTGGGTAGTTAATGACTGGTTGGGGACAGAAGGGCTCTGCTGAAGTGTTGGCAAGTTACCCTCAGTTGTTGTCAGGGTTTTATTGAGATGACTTTGATTGCTGCTGCTTCGTCCCTAATCTGCTGTCCAGAGTAAAACCACATCAGGGCTGGGTGTTGGCTCGGGGTCTCTGGCCCTAGGAGATGAAGCTCAGAGCTGGGAGCTGGTGGGACATAGAGGTGACAGATGGAACAATGACCCCAGGACCTTGGTGCTGCCTCAGAGACCAGAGAGATCAGTACGCGATCATGAAGCGAAGGTAGAGACCCAGGTCCTCACCCAGGACCCAGTCCACCTCAGCCTCGATGTCCCTCATAAAAAAACCATGATGCTCGCCAAGTTCATGCAGAAGGCCAGGTTCAAGAGGTGGTCACGCACCGCCGCAGTCTCTGTCACCTCGTCCTCTTGCTGGGCCATGTCTAGCAGCGTCCACATCTCCCCCACCGAGGAGGCCACAAAGTGCTCTTCCAATTGCTCTTCATCTGGCTCTGGGGGTGAGAGCAGAGACCTGGCAAGAGGATCCCACCTGCCCAGCCCAGCCCTGAGCCAAGCACACACGAAGCTGGAGAGTTGGGGGAAAGTGACCTCTTCTGACCTAGCCGTGCCCGCCTCTTTCTGGCTTCATCCTTCCTCCTCTGTCTCAGATAGTGGCACCTGGATACACACACAATCTCAGTTTGGCCAGCTCCAAACCATAGCAGATCCTGTTGTCTCCCACCACCCAAACCCAGGTCAGAGCCTGAGCCTCTTCCACAAGCTTTTCTAGTGACTCCACTGCCCATCTGCCTCCCCTCCTACCCACCTGTGGAAGGCATCCTCTCTTTCTGGCTGCTCTCTGTAGGGTCTGGACTTCCCTTCTGCAGCTTCAAGCCTTTCACTGGAAGCAGCAGCATCAGGATGGTGACTAGGGCCATAGCCCTGCAGAACTGGGGGCCCCGGGGTGCCATGGGCCTGCCCACCCCTGCCTCTCACCTCCCCTGACTCCCCGGCAGCCTTCCCAACGCAGCCCTGCCCTTACTCCTAGCCAGTACCGTCTTCTTCCCTTCCATCCCATGGGATCTCCTGGGCTCTGTGACATCACAGTAGTGGCACTACCCACCCCCCTTGGCCTCCTGGAGAATTCCATTGTCCATCAGGGACAGCTGAAGCTCCTGAGATTACCAGATTGGGTCATATGGTGACAAAAACATGACTGAACTTTTTGATCAAAGGCTGTACAGAAGAATCTTGATCAACAGGGGGAAAAATGCAGAAGAGAATTTCAAAATCTCAATGGAATCTAGATTTTCTTGATCCATTAAGGCTGGATGTATCATCCCAGAAACTATTGTCCTGAGGGAGAAAGAGAAAAAAGACAGTTGTTCAGAAAGCAGGCAGCCCTGCACCCAGGCCACCTGACCTCTGCACCCAGGCCTCCCTACCCACAACCCCCAGCCATCCCCCGGCCTCTCCCCATCTTTTTTCACCCTGTAGTTCCACTCTGACATGACCTCTCCTTCTCTTAGATGCAGGGAGAGACTATTAGGAACAGAGTAGGAGGAACCTAACAGCCAGCCTAACTGCACCCCAACACCTGGGACTGGAATCAACAGTTTCAGGAAACTGACTCCACAAAGTTTTATTGTGAATTATGTGGATCTAGTCTCCTCTTGAAAACTTATAAGCCAGTCACTTCTTGCCTTTGTAGCCCCCCATTTTGGGTGGCCAATGTCCAAGTTGTCCATCCCTGTCTACCCTGTGTAGGGGTTGGCATGATCCTCGCTGTAAAGATTTGTTCCCTCTTTCGAGCTACTGCATCTACAGGTGTAGGTCAAGTTCATCAAATGGTATCAGATTACTCTTTTTCTCCTTTCTTCTTCTAGTTGAGCTCTGATCATCCAGCCATTGAAGCCAGGTCAAGTGGGTACTATCAACAAGTGTGGGTGTTCTTATGCATATGTCCTCTCTTCTTATCAGCTGGACACTTCCTTCACTCTCCACTCTAGTCCTCTGTGGCTATGTCACTGTCTCGGGGCCCAGGAATCCCCAGGTCTTGCCATACTGTTGGCCAACCAGGTCTCCACCCAGGTTCACAGGAGTCTATTGAACGTGGTAGGACTTAGCTCGCAGCTTCATTACTGTTTTTCCCTCACTTCCCCTTATTGGTGACCAACGTGGTCACCAGTCAGAGAGCATGTCTGCTCGTGTATTCCCCTTGAGTCTTAGTCTTGGAAGGGGGATTGCTCTGAGGGGACCCGGCCACTTGCCTTGATGTCTCCTGGGCAAGCAACTTGCTTGTTCTTGTAAGTAGTCAGTCAGACTGCTGTTATTGTTTCGTATTTTTCCTGTCAGTCTTTCTTTCAAGAAGTATCTTCTGTTCTTCTAGCCACTCTAGGCTGGTCTGCTTGTCCTTGCAAGTGGAAATTTCCCACCTCGGAAGATTATAGATGGGGTTCAGGATTCCACCTATGGTCTCATGCAATGCAAAGGCTCTGCAGGAAGCCTCGTTCACTGGGCACATTGTAGCCCCTTTTTAGGTATTCCAATATGTTATAGGCAGAAGACAGACTTACAAGCTTTCTATGGTGATATTTCTGACTATTCCTTTCTCTCCCCTTCAAGTGTCTATTTTATAATGGTATGCAAGGGAAACCAAGATTCAAAAGATAGCCAAGCATCTTAACATTATTTCCCCCCTTCTACCCATTCAAACTATTCCTCAATCTCTGTATCCCAGAGCCCTGCTGTTCCAAGGTTGTGCATGCATCATTATTTACCTCTGTCCCACTTAGCACATGCAAACCTGCCTAATTGTTCTTCCATCCACCTTGTTCTTCCATTCCCCTCCCCCTTCTTGTGTGTTTCCCCCTCCCCAGCACCTAAACTATCCTATGTCTATTCCAGACTCTGTGTTCCACCTTCCCCTCCCTCCCCTCACCTCACCCCTACATCCCAGCAACCAGCAAAGAATCCCCCCTTTTAGTATGGGTTCTTTTTCCTAGTCTTTTACTGTAGTGGTTCTATGCAGTATTTCTCTTTTTGTGACTGAATAATTTCACTCAACATAATGTCCTCAAGGTTTATCCATGCTATGTGGTGGCTTTACAGCTTCTTTGCTGTTTTTCAAGGTAGCATAATATTCCATTGTGTGTATGTACCACAGTTTGTTTATCCATTCTTCAGTTGATGGGCACTTAGGCTGTCTCCATGTTTTTGCTATTGTACATGGTGCTGCTGTGGACATTGGTGTACATGCATCTACTTGTGTTATGGCTCGTATTTCTTGTGGGTAACCAGCACATCTTTTGAAAAATCGAGCAGTGCTAGACCACCAAAAAGGGTGCAAAACATGTGCTACCTAGACCCTGCTGCCAATCAGAACTAAACTGGAGGAAAACTAGCAAAAACCGTAAAAGGGGGAGAAAGAACCCAAGGCTGATGCCCACTCCTCTTCTGAGAAGTGTATTTTTCATGGCTCAATAAAACTGGCATGCTATTTGCTGCTTTTTTTCTGTGTGTGCTGTTTGTACCAACCTCATGTGGGTCTTGCCAGTCCTGCAGAAGTCAAGCTATATGACCCTTCACCCCTTTTCGGGGAAGGTGTTAGAGTCTGCATGGAGGGACGATAGCTGGAGTGTGGTGCAGTGTACCCCATATAGGATACTTGGCTGCCTTTTGCCTGGACAGAGATGTAGGGAGAGAACTGGAGGAGAGGGACACAGGTTGGCCCTGGAAAACTAGAACTGAGCACTGGCCATGGGCAGGACACAGGCACATCAGGACGCCTCATCCACTAAACTGTAGCCACTAGGGCATCCTGCTGTTTGAAAGTGTAAACCTGCTCAGGTACAGAAGAGGAGACTGTTCAGAGGTGTGGACTGAGGGTCAATTTTGCCCACACTAGGACACACATGCACATACACACAGACATACATGCCGGCTATGATGCTTAAGATTTTGTGTCCACTGACTGGGCCAGGATTCTTCTCCGTGGTTTAACAGTGAAGATGCAGCAGTTCCCATGGTAAGATCTAATATAATGTAATCTATGGTCAGCCAATCACATTGAAAGGACATTTCCTCGGGGTGTGGTCTGCAACATCTTTCATCTTACAAAGATAAAGGGAGGGATAAGTGAGCACAGAAAGAGGGATCTACTACCTCCAGGAAAGAGGAGCCAAAAGTGGAGTGAGCCTTTGGACAAGTGAAGTGCCTAGATCCAGGGGAAGATTGATGCCAAAACACGTGGAGATCTCTGAAAAATGTTGGGTCCACCACAGATGCTTCTGAAAGGAGACAAGGACCTTTCACCAGAGCTGACAAAGGAGAAAGCCTTCCCCAGAGCCTGCACTCTGAATTTGGACTTCTGGCTTCTTCAGCTGTGAGACAATGAATGTCTGTTTGTTATAACGACCCACTTGTGGTATTTCTGTTATAGCAGCATGAGAGAACTAAGACATGGGTACACATGCTGACACACATGCACACACCAACACACATGCACACAGACACATATGTACATGGACACCTTGACACACATGTGCTCACACACTGGAAATATACCCACACTGGCACACATTCAGGGCAGGTACATGGACACACATGCATGCACACACATGTACATATTGGTACACACATATGCATATATGCACACACTGAAACACATGCCCACACTGGTGCACTTGGACATGTGGACTCACATGCACACCTCAGCATGCATATGTGCACACTGAAACAATGACACACACTCATGCATACATGCAAATGCACTGACACATACATGCATGCACAGCTGCACAATGTACACACACATGGACACACACATATATATCATCACATATGTGTGCTCACCAACACACATGTTCACACACACTGATTCACATGCATGCATAGCAGCACACATGTACACATACATTGACACACACACCGACACACATGCATGCACAGGGTGCACATACATACACATGTATGCACACACTTGCATACATGCACAGCGACACACATGTACACACCCACAAATATGCACACGGCACACATTTATACACTGGCACATGTGCACTGACACATGCATACATTGACATCCATGCATCCATGCACAGTGACTCTTGTATACATGCATGGACACACTTGGCACACAGGCATGCACACACCAGCATACATACATGTACACATGTACACATACACATTGACAAAAATCACACCCAGAACACACACATGTACACAGGCATGCACACACCAGCACACATAGATGTACACCGAACACACCAGTACACATACACTGACATGCATGTATGCATATACACTGGGCACACCTTACACACTAGCACCCATGCACACTAACACATGTACACATACACTGACATGCACACATGCATACACACAGTGATACATGTACACATTCATTGGCACACTTGGCACACACTGGCACAAAGGCATGCACACACCTGCACACATGTATGCACACATTGATACACACACATTGGCACACAAGCACACCTGGAATGCACACACTAGCACACATGCATGTGCACACAGACGTACTGGCACACATGTACATGTGTCCTAAGTCAGGTGACAAGCTACCAGACAGGATGGCGACCTTAAGGTGTGGGGGAGATCTAAACACATGTGACCCGATCAATGTGTTCTTGCACCCACCTGGAGGATGAGGGGGAGCTCTATGGTTGGGGCCAGGTCTGGTCTGGGACATCTGCTCGAAACCAGCATATCCTTGGAGGGCAGCCTCCAGTGGTGAGCCTGCTGAGGGTCTCAGCACAGCCTTCACTGAGTGGTGTTGCTCAGTCTCTCCTCCTCAATCAGTTCACGAGGGTTTTGGGGAGAGGCCCCTAGTCCCAGGTCCAGGTATGGGGTCAGGGGAGGTCCTTGTCTATAGAAAACCCAGGGAGGTCTGAGAAGAATGAGGGGAGATCAGAGAAAAGGTGCAGTTGAAGGGCACCCCAAGAGGAGGTGGGGAGAGGACAACTGTCTGGTCTACCAGGCTCCTTGGCACACTCCCATTCCCCCAAGTTGGGAGGAAGGAGACAAGGGCAGCAGGCGGGTAAGGCCCCGATGACCCTGGTCCTGCTCTGTGCGGCTCGGACCGGCAGCCTCACCCCAGTCTCCCCACCACTACCTTTACGGGCAGGTGTTCCCTTGGCAGGTGCCTTACTTGCTCCACCTTATCACTGCATCTACAGCCTCTGCCTGTTATCTCTCCCTCCATCTCCTTAGACTGGGAGTCCCAGGGCTGAGAGGCAATGACCACCTGACTGACCCACCCCCAGCCAAGCAGAAAAATGCCCCACGCAGCGGGCGACCCTCCCTCCTCAGTCCACCTCCCCACTCCCTGGGCTGGAGAAAGAGACCTTGTCTTGGGCACCCCATCTCCCTCCGTGCATTTATTTTCCTGGTCTGCAGGTCACTGAGTCCATTCCTCACAGGCTCTGAGGCCAGCTCTCTTTCTTACAGCGAAAGGAGGGGCATACTGAAGCCACTGCCACCAAGGAGGAGTGACCCCCATGTGTCTCTCCTGAAGCCTAACCCTTCATCCTTAGGTTCCCTACATCTGGAGCTGAGATTGCAGATTCCAGACCAGCTCCAAGTGTGGCACTAACAGTGTTGGACTGGACAAGCATGTTTCTTAAGCACCGGGTCTTCTCGTTTGGAAAGTAGAGAGGACTCTGAGCCTCCTCCCACATACTTGTTAGCTTTACCAAAGATCATAACTCAACAGTTTCTGCGTGTCTGTGCAGTAGGCCCAGGAGATAAGCATATAGTATCTCACAATAAAATAAAGTGATGCTGCCTTATCCTCACTCATTCCTCCAGCTGGCCCATTCCCAGGAAGAATCCCAAACTTGGAACCCAGCTTTCTTGACCTTCACCATTTAACCTCTGTGGGAAACCCTGATCCCGCCCCCTACCCCCCCACCCCCACTCCAGTCCTCTGACCCGCCTCTCCAGGTGGAGGACTCTCCAGCCTGGGGCTCCAGGCAGCTGCAAGGGGAAGAGGAGCCACAGATGGAATTTCACAGCAAGTGACCCTCCTTGAGGTAGGGCAGAGGTGACCATGATGGACAGGAGACCCAGAAAAGCAAACCTAGGGCCTGAAGAGGACCATCACCAGGATTTTCTATAGCAGTGTAATTATGACCCCCATTCTAAGACTGAACCCACAAACCTCAAATAAGAAGGCGGTTCCAGACCAGGATCTCTGAATCCCAAGCCAGAAACTTGCTTCCTATCTGCCCCCCATTGGCTAGGCACCTGGTTTGTGGGGCAACCTCCCATTTGTCCTTGCCCCTTCCAAGTTCCTCTGCCCCAGGCCACTGCTGTGAGCAGGTTCTCTCCCCCGCCGCCCTCTCCCTCCCCTCGGGCCTGAGCTGCCCCAGGCTCCTCCTCCTGTAGGAAAAGCGCCTGCCCAGTCAGCTGGACAGTCAGTGCCTGCTCGGCACCTACAGACTCACACACAGGAGCGTGCGTACACGCACACCCCACACAACCACACCGGTCACCCTCACCACAGCCCCGACAGGCCTCACCTTCTCCAGGGTCTGGAAGGGGACATGGGTGCACCCCCACCCAAGGCCAAGTGGCCGTGGGTCCAGCTTCAGAAACTTCTGACCTCCTGGCTCATCAGAGATGGCGACTGGGACCAGCTCCTGGACGAGGCCCACATGCGGCAACAGAAGAGGTGGGCACCCGTTCCTCCCCAGGCCCACACAGCACACAGGGTGTGGGAGGCAGAGGACAGCCAAGGCTCCATGGAGGAGCTCAGCTGGGAGAAGCGGGGTGCCGGTTGGAAGGGTCCTGCATGACCCAAGTGCCTTTAGCTGAGAGCACGGATCTGGGGGGTGGGGGTTCGGGGTTTCCATGCCACTCTGCTAACCCATTGCTAAGCAGGGAGCATTTCAAGGTAAATCATTAGGATCCATCCTGTACACAGGCCTCTGTCTCCCCTGAGAGCAGACATTGTGGGGTGGGGTTCAGTCAGGCAGTTTTAGGGATGCCAATTCAGAGGTTCATGTCCTGTGAGTCCTTCACTTTGTACTGGGTTTTGATCGTCCAGCCACTCGGCAGCTGAACCTTCCTGCTGGGAGGAGTACTGACTTACTCCTACCCCCACCCCAGCCCACAGGGTGGAACCTTGCACCTTTGAACCGGCCACCTCCTTAGAGAAGTCCCCTCAGGACAGGCCAACAGCTCCAATGTACTCTTCAGGACAGGCCCCAGACTGAGGTGCTGGGGAGGGTGGGCATCCTGAAGGTATTCTCCACCCACCCGACACACACACACACCCTACCCCCTGCTCAGTGGCCATGGAGACAGGACCACCGGTGTGGGTCTTTGGCATCCATTCCTTATTGCCTGTCTGTCCCTCCACCCTCAGTCTGCCCAGCCATCTCTGGCTCCAGGACTCTCCATCAGCTCCATTCAGGCAGCAGGAGGCAGCAAAAAAAAATCACCACACAGGTGTTGCACAGGGAAGACCCCAGACTGGAGGCACTCAATGCCCCCTCAGTCACACACAGGTGCTGGAACCCCTGAATCCCACTCTGTCCTTGCCCTGACACTTGTCCATTTTTCCCAGGATCGGGGAGTGTCCATTGCTTCAGGCCGCCAAGGTCAACGACATGTGTACCCTGAAGGAGTTGCGGCTGGATGGCATCTGTGACTTCAAACAGAGAGGTGGGTTGGGCTAGAGAGGCCAGACACCTACTGCCATAGGACAGAAGGTGTTCACCAAGCCCATGGTGCTCTGTGAGGACTTAACATCCCTGTTCCCTGCAGGAGCCCTGGGGGAAACAGCACTGCACGTGGCTGCCCTCTATGACAACCTGGAAGCCTGCCTGCTGCTGATGGAGGCTGCCCCCGAGTTGGTCCGGGAGCCCATGGTATCCGAGCTGTATGAGGGTGAGGCAGAACCCGGGGATGGGAAAGGGACCAGCTGCAGTCTAGAGGCATGGCCATTTGGGACACCCAAGTGGGACTCAAGCCCCCTAATTGATCTTTCTCTTGGGCTCCCTTTTCCTGTCAGTTGAGCACGTGCCAAGGTAGAGAGGGGGTGGGTGAGAATGACAGACCCCTGGGCTCTCCCCATCCCTCCCGACCACCTTGGGGGAAGGACCAGGACCCCAGGGAGACCGGACAGTGTCCCAGGGAGACAGGACAGTGTCCCTGACACTCTCTCTGGCCAGGTCAGACTGCGCTGCACATCGCTGTTGTGAACCAGAATGTGAACTTGGTACGAGCTTTGCTCGCGCATGGGGCCAGCGTCTCAGCGAGAGCCACAGGGGCTGCCTTCCGCCGCAGCCCCCACAACCTCATCTACTTTGGTGAGAGTCTGGGGGCTGGGTGGGTGCATCACCCCGGCTCTCCCACTCTCCACGTGGGCCCCAACTGAGATGTGGGGGGTGGACACTGGGGACAGCCCCACTCTCCACCCACGACCTCTACCCCCCAGGGGAGCACCCGCTGTCCTTTGCCGCCTGCGTGGGCAGTGAGGAGATTGTGCGGCTGCTCATTGAGCACGGAGCTGACATCCGCGCCCAGGACGCCCTGGGTAAGAGGGACCAGGCCCTGCGGGTGTGGGGGCCACCCCAGGTCTGGGCACAGTGGCCAGTGACACCATGTCCCCCCAGGAAACACCGTGCTGCACATCCTCACCCTCCAGCCCAACAAGACCTTCGCCTGCCAGATGTACAACCTGCTGCTGTCCTATGATGGACGTGGGGGTGACTCCCTGCAGTCACTGGACCTCATGCCCAACCACCAGGGCCTCACCCCCTTCAAGCTGGCCGGTGTGGAGGGCAACACTGTGGTGAGGATGCCCACCCGGGGCTTCCTCGTGCTCTGTGTCTTGGGGGTCCCTGTGCTTACACTCCCTGACCGCCCCCTTCTCATCCTCCCCATGCTGGTCCCTGCCCTGTTGCCTGACTGCTCCTGTCTCTCCCAGTTTCCTGTCTGCCCTTTGCAGCCCACAGAATACCAGCCTCTGAGCTCTGAGTATGGGATGGGAGTGGGCTCTGGGGTCCTTGTGTCCACCCACAGCTGTGGTCCTGGAGGAAGAACAGTCTGCTCCAGAAGTCCTTGGCCCTAGAAGTCCACCACCCACCCTGGTGACCATCCCCCGGGAAGGTGGCCAGTCCTTCCTGACTCCCCCCTTCCTCCCCAGATGTTCCAGCACCTGATGCAGCGGCGGAAGCACATCCAGTGGACTTATGGGCCTCTGACCTCCACCCTCTACGACCTCACTGAGATCGACTCATGGGGAGAGGAGCGGTCCTTTCTGGAGCTTGTGGTGTCCTCCAAGAAGCGTGAGGTAGGTGTCCTGGACTGTCCTGTGGAGGATGGTCTCCTTCATCTTGTGAGCTCCAGCTGTTCTTTCTTGTGCTCACATGTCACACAGGAGAGGTTTCCATTGGTTCAGTCATTCGTTTGCCCCTCCCTTCTTTGGTTCATTCAGCACAGGGGGGATATGCTGCATCCCAGCAGTAAACAAACAGCAGATAGAAGTAAGACATAGCTCCGGTCTGTCACTTTCCCTCAAGAATGGCCATGGAGACCACTGGTACCATGGTCAGGGTCTATGCTCTCCAACATGGCAGCAAAAATGAGCGGCGTCTACTTATCCTGATGGCCAGAGAAGAGGGCACAAAGAAAACACTTGAGCTAGGTCTTCAAGGGACTTCCTGGGTGGTACAGATGGTTAACATGCTTAGCTTCTAATTGAAAAGTTGAAGGTCTGAGTCCACCCAGAGACAACGCAGAAGAAAGATCTGACAATCTACTTTGGAAAAAGCAGTCGTTGAAAACATCACAGAATAGAAAACGTCACTTCTATTCTGATACACATGGGGCCTCCATGAGCAGGAGTCGACTCAATGGCAGCTGGTATTCCATCCCTTAGTCCTAGTCCTCTGTCGTATGAGGACAATATGGCCCATCTGGCTAGAGCCCCTTCCCTCTCTGCACTAACCTGCCAGCCATGTCTGCATCCCATTCCCTGGGTCTCCTTTCCTCCACGATGCATGGGAATGGTGCCCTTTTCTGCTTTGTGTACAACTTGCTCTTTCTTCTGAGACCCTCTTTCCATCTGCTGCCCCTCTTATTTGTGTCTTTAACCTCTCACTGTCGTCAGAGAGCCATCCCACCTGGCCTGGCCTATGGTGACAATCTTCCACCTGCCTCCTCTGTTGCTCCCCTCCAGTCCACAGGACCTGCAGGACAAATATGCCATCCAGTTCTTGACACACACAAAAGCAAACTCCCTACCTTGATGTCAAGAAGTAGGATGATCTGGCCCTTAACTCCTTGTCCCGTTCTAACTTCTACCCGCCTATCCCCCAGTTGTTCCACATCTTTATTGCATTGCATCTGCAAATGGATGGTGGCTTCTCATACAGTCCACCTCAACAGCTACTGCACTATGTGGAATGGTCTTTGCCAGCTCATGTCCCCAATCCTCTAGTGCCTTGTATTGACGTCTGGAGTCGTTTATTTGCAGTACTAGTACAAGGCCCAGCATGCAGTGTAGCTGACTCAGTCATTCAAACATTCCTGAAAAAGGAATGTCTAACTGCCTGCCCCTCCAGGTCCCAGGGGGGCACCATCATGCTGATCCCCCTAAGCAACTCTCTCCATTCACACAGGCACGCCAGATCCTGGACCAAACGCCTGTAAAGGAGCTGGTGAGTCTCAAGTGGAAGCGGTACGGAAGGCCGTACTTCTGTGCGCTGAGCGCCGTCTACCTGCTCTACATCGTCTGCTTCACCATGTGCTGCGTCTACCGCCCCCTCAAGTCTCGTGGAGGCAACCGCACACATTCTCGCGATATTACCATCCTCCAACAGAAACTACTGCAGGTGAATTTTCTCAGAGGGGGATTATGGGGATAACAGCGCAAGTGTGATGGTGCTGAAGGTCAGAGAGACGCTACCACTCACTGAGCACCAGGGCAGAAGATAGGCATGAGAAATGGGGCCAGGGAGGGGCCTTAATGTATATAAGATCATTTGTCCATTTGTCCGGGAAGTCATGGTTTTTTGTTTGTTTGTTTTTCTACAAACATTGGAGGAGTGCTTGGTATTATGAACCTGGGACATTTGTGAAATGCCTTACTACTTACAAAGAATACTCACCCTTTGTGGTGGCAAGTTCAAGGGAAATACTGTTGCTCTAAGGGAGGAAAATTGTCTCCCGAGACACCTGAGTCCTATCCCAGGCTGTTAGGGCAATACAGAAAGTCCTCATGGCCTGCGTTCTCTTCTGTGTACTGTCAACATGATACATTTGTCATAGTGGGCCAGCTGTCCCACCACCTGCCCCACACACTCCAGAAGGATGCTGGGATTGGGTAGCAGCTTGAAGTTAATAATCTCTGCAGTTCCTTCTAAACCTGCCACAGTGCTATGTCCTTGAAGACCGAGGATTTTGAGGATGGTCAAGTAGATTTATACCCTGTTGTTGAAGGCAGCAAATGTGTGAAGAGTGAGAAGTACTTAGCATATGGGCTCAACAAGTGCAGCTACATTTGGGGTGTACATGCAGTTTTGTCCTGGTAAGCTAAAATAGCTGAAAGGGGGTACAGGCATGCAGGCAAAAAGCAAATGGCAGGGAGAGAAGAATTGGAAGAGAAGTCAGTGTGGGAAGAGTGGAAATTTATCTCTACCCAGCATGGGCCAACCATGGGGAGAGCTCCTCTGAAAAGGGTTGTTTAGATCAGAAAGATAAAATAAACCTAATCAAGGAGCAAACACGCTGAATTGAGTCACATTAAATGTCAGAGCAAGAACAAGCAAAGGGCCTCGCTGGAACCCAGCTTGATGGAGATGCTCTCTCTTCTATAACTGCCTCTCTCTGTATATACAGTCCACATATAGGACAAAGTCAGGCTTGCTGCCTTGAGAGGAAGGCTAAATGTAGGGGTGTTGTCTTGTTAGCAGGGCATGGGACAAGCTGGAGAAACCGCATTCTAAATGTCCATCTCAGTATGAATGTTTGTCCTGGTGTGAATGTGCATTGGAGAACAAGCACACAAAGGACACAAGAGGGTAGAGGGGTGACTAGAAGTGGAGGAAGATCACATTGGGGAAAGAGGCCACGGAGGAGATGAGTGGGTAGATGTACCTAGAAGTGAAGATTATATTGGGGAGTGTCTTAGTCATCTAGTATTGATGTAACAAATGTCACAAATGGATGTCTTTGACAAACAGAAATTCATTTTCTCACCGTTTAGGGGCTGTTGTTAGGTGCTGTTGAGTTTTGGTTCTGACTCCCAGTGACCCTACATACAACATAACAAAACACTGCCGAGTACTTCACCATCCTTACAGTCGTTGCTGTGTATAATCCACCTCATTGAGAATCTTTTTCCTTTTTACTGACTCTCTGCTTTACCAAGCATGATGTTCTTCTCCTGATAATATGGTCAAAGTATAAGAGGTGACATCTTAGCATCCTAGGTTCTAAGCAGCAGTCTGACTATGCTTCTTCCAACATGGATTTACTGTTTCTGGCTGACTCTAGAGGAAGGTTTTCTCTCTCTCATGGCTCCGACGGAAGATCCTTATCTCTTCAGTTTCTGCTTCCTAGTTCCTTGTAGATCACTATGTGTCTTGACCCCATTTCTCCTCTGTTCACTTGTTTAATTTCTTTTATAACTTAAAAGAAATTGACTCAAGATATACCCTATACCACTACCAACTGTTCTGAAAGAAGTCCCATTAGAAGGTCTTGGATAGAGTGGGAGAAAATGTAGACTGAAACTCATTTTTTAAAAAAGACCAGGTTTACTGTAAGATGGAGACTGGTGGAACTACCAAGACTATGGGCCACAGTCACCCTCCAGGTCTGGAAATGAACTGACCCCAGGGCTCAGTTTTCAGACAAACAGTAGACATGCCTATAAGAGAAACAATAACTCTAATGAGCCACACACATCTTTGAATAATCCACCATTTGAGGTTCAAAGGACAGTGTTTAACCAAGGACAAAATTCACAAGGGGTAGGAAAGAAGGAGGAAACAGAGACAAAGTGGGATAAGTGATGTTATATTGTGAGGATTGCAATCAATAAGATGAAACAAAATGTGTATGTTATTGAATAGAAAATTGATCTGCTTTGTAAACCTTCACCTAATTCACAATAAAAAGTCAAAGAAGGTAAAGATAGACCTTATACTAATTCTGCGTCAGTAACAGGACAAAGACAACCCATTCCTAAGTGGGAATACAATAACAGACTTAAAGGTTAAGATTTACAATACATATTTTTGAAGGTCATAACTCAATCCTTAATAAGTTTACTAAAGGGAGAAACAGGTGGAGGTGAAAAGAAATGGATGAAGGCCACATTGGAAAACAAGAACACTAAGGAGGCAGTATGGATGTGGGTGACTAGAGGTGGAGGAAGATCACAATGGGGAACAAAGACATTATGGAGACAAGTGGGTAGGGGGAGGTGACTAGAAAAACAGGAAGGCCACATTGGAAACATCTTAGTTATAATCATCATAGAAATACTACAAGTGGACAGTTCGGACAAACATAAATTTATTCTTTCCATTTAGGTGGTTAGAAGTCCAAATTCAGGGCACCAACTCTGAGGGAAGACTTTCTCTGTTGGCTCTGAGGGAAGGTCCGTGTCTCCTTTCAACATCTGTGGGCCCAGTGCTCCTTGGAGAAGTCCATGTACTTTGGCATTAATCTTGTCCGAGGAAGTTCTCAACACAGGGACCCTGGGTCCAAAGAGTACATTCTCAGCTCTTCTTTCTTGGCGATTATCGTAGGTCCTTCTGATCTCTGCTTGCTTGTTTAATTTCTTTTATATCACAAAAGAGATTGACTCAAGTTACAACTTCATCCTGTAGCTTGTATCATGCCTCATTAACATAACAATGTCTACACGCCTGCCTCATTAACATCATGTTCTTGTTGTCAGATTCTGTTAAGTTGGTTCTGGTTCATAGTGACCCTGTGTACAGCAGACCAAAACACTGCTGGATCCTGCGTGGTCACTGCTTTGTTTGAGCCCACTGTTGTAATCACTTTGTCAGTCTATCTCGTTGAAGGTCTTCTGCTTTTTTTTTTGCTGACCCTCTACTTTTCCAAGCTTTGGAGAGTGGTTCCTTCTGATACCAAGTCCAAAATATGTGAGAAGTCTTGACATCTTCTCTTCTAATAAGTGTTCTGAGTACACTTCTTTCAAGACAGATTTCTTCATTCTTCTGGCAGTCCATGGAACTTTCAATATTCTTCAACAACACCATACTTCAAATGCATCAGTTCTGCTTTGATCTTCCTTATGCATTTTCCAGCTTTCACGTGCATATGAGGCAATTGAAAATGCCATGGTTTGAGTCCTGGCTTCTTCAGTCAGACGACCTTAGAACTCAAAGTGACATCTTAGCCTTTTAACAGTAAAAGAGGTCTTTTGCGGCAGATTTGCCCAATGTAATACATCATTTGATTTCTTGACTGCTGCTTCCATGAACATTGTAGGTCCAAGCAAAATGAAATCCTTGACAACTTCAATTTTTCTGCATTTGTCAAGATGTTGTTTGCTGGTCAGTTTGTGAGGATTCTTGTTTGAAGTATATTTATGTTGAAGTATATTCCATATTGAAGCCTGTAGTCTTTGATTTTAATCTGTAAGTGCTTCATGTCTTCTTCATTTTCAGCAAGGAAGGTTGTATCATCTGCCTATAATGGATTGTTAATGAACCTGTGCATTCTTCTGCTAGGCATTCCTCTTCATATAGTCCAACTTCTTGGATTATTTGCTCAGCATGCAAATAGAGTAAGTATGATGAAAGGATACAGCTCTGAGACACAACTCTGCTTTGAAACCACTCAGCCACTTACTCTGTTCAAACTACTGCCTCTTTATCGATGTACAGGTTCCTCATGAGCAAAATTAAGTGTTCTGGAATTCCCATTTTTCACAATGTTATCCATAATTTGTTATGATCCACACAGTCGAATGCCTTTGCATAGGCAATAAAATACAAGCAAACATCTTTCTGGTATTTTCTGCTGTCAGCCAAGATCTCTATGACGTCAGCAATAATATCCCTCATTCTAATTCCTCTTCTTATCCCAGCTTGAATTTCAGGCAGCTCCCTGTCAATGTACTGCTGAAACTGTCTTTTTTTTTTTTTAGTCGTCAGAAAACTGTACTTGCACATGATATTAATAATATGTTGTTGTTAGGTGCCGTTGAGTCCATTCCGACTCACAGTGACCTTATGCACAACAGAACAAAACACTGTCCAGTCCTGTGCTATCCTCAGAATCATTGTTAAACTTTAGCCCATTGCAGCTGCCACTGTGCCAAGCCATCTCGTTAGGGGTCTTCCTCTTTTTCGCTGATCCTCCACTTTACCAAGCATGATGTCCTGGAATCAGGGACTGATTCCTCCTAACAATGTATCTGAAGTATGAGAGACAAAGTCTATCCATCCTGGCTTCTAAGGAACATTCTTCTACTTCTTCCAACACAGATTTGTTTGTTCTATTGGCAGTCCATGGTACTTTTAATATTCCAATGCCATAACTCAAATGCATTGATCTTCTATAATCTTCTTTATTGATTACCCAATTTTCACCATGCATATGAACTTATTGACAATACCATGGTTTGGGTCAGGTGCACCTTAGTCCTCAAACTGACATCTTTGCTCTTAAACATTTTAAAGAGGTCTTGTGCAACATCCATAGTTAATGATATAGTTCAGTAATTTCCATGTTCTGTTGGATCATCCATTAATGATATAGTTCATTAATGATATAGATCATCCATTAATGATATAATTAATGATATAGTTCAGTAATTTCCGCATTCTGTTGGATCACCTTTCTTTGT